CTGCCGTTTACCTAAGAGGAATCGCTTGAATGACACGTCCTCCTGCACAGAATGGTGAGATCGAGGCCATCTAGTGGGCGGCATTCGAGATCGCAGTGGGCACTCCAGTGGTGATAAGCTCAAGGAGATGCACTTGCCGTGACCCGCTACTGCAAACAGCATGGAGCTCTCGCCAATCCAGTAGCTCGACGGCGTCCTGCAGAAGCCAATGGGCCTTGATAAAGCTCGCCCGGATGCCCAGGTTCTTTCGTGCTCTTCCTTCTTCTCCTTGAACCTTCTGCCCTCTTGATCTGTTCACGATGTTGAGCAAGACCTACTTCACGCTGCTTGGCGCAGCCATTGTGTCAGCCCACGGCGACCATGACTTGCAGAAGTCCATGTCTGGTCCACACCAGTCTCTGTGGTACAGCACTCTTCCGGGAGACGGTGGGACCCAGGTGCGACCAATTCGTAGCTGCGACCGAGGCTCGAGCTAACAATACCAGGCCGACTCGGTCTTCTCCGGTATCTCGACCTTTGGTCGGCTCCCATATGCGCAGTGCCTCGCACAGAGCGACGTGAAATATGACATTGCCTTCATTGGTTCGTCAATTGTCCAATTCTGAATTGTCCACGCCGAACTAATACGAGCCCAGGCGCGCCGTTCGACACCGGCACTTCGTACCGCCCTGGTGCTCGCTTTGGCCCATCTGGCATCCGACAGGGGTCGCGTCGCCTCAACCTCTAGTGTGTAGCAGTCTTCATGTTAAGCTTCGTATGCGTCCTCGCTGACAAAAATATCGTTCGCAGTGGAGGATACAATGTGCCACTTGACACGAACCCTTTCAATAGCTGGGCTACGGTTCTTGACTGTGGCGATATCCCGGTCACCTCGTACGGAAAGCCTATCAACCTTTCAGAAGTTGGTGTGTTGACTCCCATTCTAGATACGACAACACCTTTGCGCTTCACCAGATCGAGGAGGGCCACTATAGCATCCTCTCACGGGCGCCAAAGACCGATGCAGACAAGCTTGGTCCCGCAAAGAAGGGCAAGACTCTGCCCCGAGTGATCACTCTTGGCGGTGATCACACGATTACCCTCCCGCTGCTGAGGTCCATCAACCGCGCATACGGGCCGGTGTCCGTGATCCACTTTGACAGCCATCTTGACACTTGTAAGTGGAGTACGGGGACATGACAGAGTCAGACTCTGCGCTGACACTCGTCTAGGGCGGCCCAAGGTCTTCGGTGGTTCGCCGTCGCAGGTCGCGAGCATCAACCACGGCACATACTTCTACCATGCGTCCCAGGAGGGACTGCTGAAGAACGACACCAATATCCATGCTGGTATCCGCACGACCCTCAGCGGGCCCAGCGATTATGAGAATGACGGATACTGCGGCTTCGAGATCGTCGAAGCTCGTGAGATTGACACCATTGGCACCGACGGTATCATCAAGAAGATCAGGGAGCGTGTTGGCACCACGAATCCAGTGTATTTGTCACTTGACATCGACACGTTGGACCCTGCCTGTAAGTTCTGAGGGACTGGGGAAGTAGTGAGAAAGAGCGGAAATAACAGACCCAATAGTCGCGCCCGCTACCGGCACCCCTGAGACGGGAGGCTGGTCAACCAGAGAGTTGCGGACTATCCTGCGGGGTCTGGATGGAATCAACCTGATTGCCGCCGACATCGTAGAGGTTGCTGTGAGTTCCCCTAAGATTTGGAATTCTGCCAAACGAAAGAAGCTGACCGACTTTTTTTTTTGCCACATAGCCCGCGTATGACACCAACGCCGAGCACACAACCATGGCGGCTGCCGACGCCCTTTACGAGATCATGAGTATCATGGTCAAGAAGGGCCCGCTCAGCATCTCTAGCGAGCCTGAGGAGGACCTGTGAGCCTTGCGGCCGGCATCGACCTATCTTAGGGACCGCGATGGAAACCGCGACTATACTGGGAGCCGGGGTGCGCCGTCTGGGACGGGGTTGACGTTTAACATTCATGACACTGTCTATGAAGAGTCGCGAGGCTCGAGGCAAAAGTTCCAAAAAAGTGCAAGCATAGCTCCTGCCATTTTGTCTCTCTTTCGTATCTGTGATGCGCCAAGGGTCTCACGAGTGACAAGGGCGTTTAGAGTAAGGGCGTGAAAGTGGGAGGACGGTGTGACATAATCAACGATTTGAGTATATTGAATCCATCACATGCCGGGTCGATACGATGTTTCGTTCCCTCATCGGTGTTAAGATGATGCGCCATGGCGGCGACATGCCCCGTGGTGATTTGACAGGCTTGGCACCTCGGGTCAGTATCCGGCGAGTGACTCGTTCGTATTCCATGGGGGGGATCTCAATATTGAGATTGGTCTCCCAGGCAACTTGGTGGAGGTGATTTCTCAACCAGACAAAACAGGAAATGGTCAGTCAAGAGGGTATGACGAGACTTTCCAGAAGTGGTAGCAGGTCAGTCAACGGTGGGTAAGTGAAAGGCAGCGCATGACGTCGAGGTGCAGCACTTCAAGAGCTGGCACGAGGTGGTGATTCCAAACACTCGGGTCCAGATCCCGCGCTGTGCTCGGCAAAATGGAAAATAACTGACTCTGGATGGTGGCAGTCAGATGCTTGCCAGGTGGTGGTGAACGTCGATCTCGTGTTGTGCCCCGTGTGCGCCTGTTCGTGCCTGAGTCTGCCGGCAGGAAAAATTCGCTCGGCGAAATAGCACTAGACTACTAGTACAACCGGGTGCTAAACTAACCTTAAAACCTTGCCCAAAGCGCAGAAGGGCACCTACAAACATAGCGTATGACGTCGATCCGAGGCCGCCTAGAAGGGGGAAAAAAAAGAGTTGGGTTCCAGAATCTGGGGACTTTTTCGCTGGAGCCGACAAGACAAGCATCACGCCTCCAAACCCACCCATGGATACAACGAACTCTCACGAGTCGCTATTCAGCCCACAAGAGGCGACGCCGGCGTTCTCACGTTCTGCTGAAGAGACTGACGGACCGCCGGACACTGCGGAGAAGAAAAGACGGGTCTGTAGTCAGTTTCCAGGCTGATTGAGGCGTGGCTGGGGTGTACACGCACGGCGTCTCTTCGATTCAGCGCTGTGTTTGGCCGCCTCGACAGTCCGGCTGAAGAGAAAAGTTTATTCTTAGCAGCAGTGCCCAACCACATCGTCTCACTCCACTAAGCTGGGGTAGCAGACTACTGTCTGTAGCGGTTGCCACAGGTGTGGCTCACGCCCTCGCCGACGCGCAACGACTGCCCTACTACGGCAGTGTGGCAATGCACATCTCTCAATGCACCTCGATCAATCAGAGCGCCATGACAGCATTTTGCGGCTTCTGGGAGAGCCCTACGGACAGACACTGTCTTGCAGTGAGACCCGCTAGCACCGAGGTGTGCAGCTACCAGCCTCCCTCAAACGCTCTTGCTTTCATCATCACGATGCATAGACATCGAACTGGGAAGCCTCCTGAGACTGGGCAAATCACGCTGGAGACAGCTGTCGATGCATGCATTGCAGTTCAACCTTTTCATTTTCTCAGGGACAGTGGGATCGTCCAGTCAGCGGCCAAGAGGACTATAGGACATGCGGGAGGAACCCGGGCGGCGATCTAGGTAAAACGAAGCTTGACAGCGATCAACCGTCAACCCCCCCGGCCATCTCCAGGGTTCCCCTCCAGAGACTCAAAACAAGAAAAGTTGGCTCCGGCACCTGGTTGGGTGACCGCTCCTGGCCGTGGAAACGCCGTGAAACTTTCCTAATAGAACTACTGAGTAACATGGTGCACTCTGTGCACGATCGTCTATGCTGTGAGATGAAAGGGACAGACAGAGTCGTACCTACCAGGCACAGGGAGACAGGGCACAAGACACAAGATTGCGGGACGGCGGCGTTGACCGAGGCGAAACTTTCCAGATGCGCGGGATTGAGATAGAATGCAAATCTCGTGCAACAGAAGCCATTATTAGACATCGGGCCTGGTAGCGTGTACGGGGAGCGGCCAGACGATGAGTCGTACCTAACCTAGTCGTGGATACGAGTAAATGGACTGAGAACTTCAGTGCACTGGACTGGACTGGACGGCTGGACGGGTTCCAGCGTTGGGAGGTTAGGGGTCCTGTGACGTTACCTCCCGCCAAGAACGACGACCTCGAACCTCACGGCAAGCCGATGCCGCCCTACGCCGTGGGCGTCAGTCTTGTCTCTCTTTGCTCTCTTTGTCTCTGTCTCTTCTCATGTCCCGTCGGCGGTGGGCTGAAAGAACTGCGGGTAAGCAGGAGCGGGTAAGTGGAGAGACAGATCCCAGCCTCAAGGGTTTTTGTCCTACTGCATAGTATTCCTGCGATGCGCTGCGCTGCGAAGCGAAGTCTCGAATTGTGGTGGTGAATTGTGCAGGTTGCCGTCAGTTGCGGTTTCCCAGTGAGCGTCTCGCATACAGTGGCGTCGGGTGATCTGCCAGGGACGCCTGCTCGCTGTGGCCTCCAACCCGAGGAGCGACGGTGATAGGCGACGCTAAAAACTCACCAGCCTCGTGTTGCCCCCTCCGCCCACTTGCTTGTTCTGGCTGACGATTGACCACAGCCCCCTGTCTGTCTGCCAGCTGCCGTGAGTACGAGTCAACCCAACCCCTCCACTCGAGCCACTCTCGTCTCTCTCTCCAGATTGTTCTATTCGAGGCTCATGAGTAAGGCGGTATACCGGTAGGTAAGTACTTGTTTGCCTTCGTCACTGCTTAGAGAGTACTACTCCAAGGTAGGTCATGTCCCGTCTCTCCTTACTCTATATATTCAACCCATCGCCCTCCGGTCTGGCCAACCTTTTTCGTTCACTCTCATCATCATCACCATCAAGCATCCTTACAACAGCCTCAACTGTCTCTCGCTGTATACCAAGACAGTATCAGAGTAGTCACTCGCTTCTCTCTGGTATATCACTACACCACCTCGCCAACCCGCCCCGACTCATACATACAAACCCAGTTTAGATTCATCCTAAACTACCGGTACACACAATGAAGACTGTTGCTGCTCTCATCTTCACTGCCGCTCTGGCAAGTGCCCAGGTCCAGTACAACGAGACCACCGGCCAATACACCTGCGCCAAGCCCGGCCAGGCCTACTGCGCTGGCGACTCTCTGGCGACGAACATCATCATCCGCTGCGATGAGAATGCTATCGGCCATGGAGGCAACTGCAACGACAACCTGGCCGGCGAGCCGCCGCTGGGTGTGAACTTTGCTCCCTGCTGGCAGACCTCCGAGACCAGCGGCGATGCCGCCTGCTCCAAGAACTGCATCGTCTATGGCGGCTCTGGCAACTACAACGGCACCTTCACTCTGCCCGCCGATGTCTGCACGCCGTCTTACACTGCCACCAGCTCGGTCGCCAGCAGCACTGCGGCGCCCACCTCCTCCGTGACCACTCTCACCACCATCTACACCCAGACCACAACCCCGGAGGGAGAGTCCACCACCATCACCGACGTCTACACTGAGACCACAACCTACTGCCCAGAGTCGACTGTCACTCCCATCTCCAGCTACACCACAGTCATCCCGCCGCCCCTGAGCACCGGCCCCAGCTCCAGCATCCTGCCGCCTCCAAGCAACGGAACTGCCACTGGCACCGGCAGTGCCACCCACACTCCCGTTGGCCCGACCACCACCGGCGCGACCACCATCCCCACGGCTGGCGCGGCCGCGAACCGTGTCGGCGCTGGCCTGGCTGCCGTTGGTCTGGCCGCTGCTTACTTCCTATGAGTCTGATGAACAGACTGTAGGTTAAGAGAGCGGAGTTTCTTGTGCATTCTTACAGACATCGCCCGCGTCATTTGGTCTTCCGGCATAAATCATTCACTTCTTCGGACATAAACAGTTTCCCCTTTTGCATTGGCCCAATTTGTTTCTCCCTCAAACTGCTGTTTTGGGGGTTGATAGGAGCCGCAAAACTACCTGCATCATATTTTTTAATGGATCGGACACACACGAAGACGCGCCAGGGTGGGCATACACTTGCATAGTACAGGAGTTTTGGGTGGCATCGGAACACACCTCATCATCTTTGGGTGATACTGAGATACTTATCACGGGCGTTCCATGAGATTCTTATCGGGAATGATTTGATATATATATGAGTATGCATTAGTTGATGAGACACTCGGAGAACCCGACGATATATAGACTTAATATCTACATTGAACATTTCAATACTTTGGTTTCTTTATGCTGTGACGTGTTTCATCCTTGATTAGAATTGTCTCAACATCTAAGCCATGAATGCATGTGATGTGTTCAGAAAGTGACTCAAATAGCTTCTGTGCCATGATAATCGATATCATTGTGGCATAGAACGATCAAGGCTGCGACTATCGAGAAAGGTAATATATCTTACAGATTTATAGTCAAACAAGCAGACATGAACCTTTGAAACTTCTACCTCGCCATATTCAAATGAGAACACTTGACACTATTTATCCATGAAGTCCTCCGTGCCCGCGATGATCCCTTCACGTATGACCTCGCCTATCACATTCCGTTCATCGTTGTCGTCGTCATCATCCGGGAAAGCAGCTGTCACGCCCTCTTCGGGGAGCCTGGTCGGATAAGCTGTGCACGCACAATCAGCCCAGCAATCATGGTCCAGTACAAGCCATCAACTTACTGATCATCATCTCCAACGTCGTCGCCGTCCGCGAGTCCAGCATGAAGACATCGCTGTCCACGTACTCGAGGTACATCTCGTACATGAATTGCACCCGGCGCAACTTGCCTCCCGTGAGGCCGCCCAAGCCCACCAGGGCCCCAAAAGTCTCCCCGTCCAGCTCCCTCCCGCATGGCTGGTGTGTCAGGGCGCTGTACAGGGCGGACAGGAAGTACGTGCTCAGCACCATGTCTGGCGGCGGCCAGCTCTCCGGCGACCAGATGGTCACGGGGCGGAGCAGCGGGTTGTTGGTGCCGCGGGCGAGCCGGTCCTCGGCGGCGCGGAGGTCGAGAAACCCCCGGAGGTGCGAAAACAGCGGCGGGGCGAGCACCGCGTTGAAGGCGTGGCATGTGCGCCGGGCCACAGGATAACAGTCGCGTGGGAGGCACAGCAGGATATGGGAGAGGAGTTCCGGCGGGAGGGAATCCATCGGAATGAGCCTTGGTATTACGCTCCGGCTGAATAAGGGGGCTCGATCTCTGTGTTCGAATTGGTATACGGATGGATGATCGGTGTAAGTGCTTGGGCAGGCGCATATACTGTAGTGCCCCGAGACCACCAGGAAACAAATACAGACCTGAGCAGGTTACGGCTCGCTCCTTATTACATCTACTCGTTCGCACTGAGCATCATCTCACTCGTTTGCGAAGCATGCACGAAGCTCCCGCGAGCGCGGCGGCCCTGGGCAGCGGCCGCCGTCGCTACTGGCCAAGACTCACGCGCGTAAGCCGGCAATAGCGACGGTCCCCAGCCCGACTGACTGTTCGTGTCCATTTCCTGATGCAGCCGTCTCTCCTCAGGATCATGGGCAATTGGAAGGATTCTCGAAGGCCGCATGGTCTGCATTAGGGTCTGTGGTGGCTTGGGGAGCGTTGCAAGGTACGTTATAGGTTTGAATAGGCTCGGAAACTTAGCTGCTGATGGGATTATCTAAGACGGTTCTCCTCCTATCAACTCCAACCAGAGTCCGACGCATGCCCTCAATAGGCAGGCTGGTTTTCTTTTGGGATCCAGAGCGAGAACGCCACGTCAACGCCCTCTCTTCAGCTTGGGGGATGGCCATGTGTGGTCAACCCAGCCCTACGCCAGTCCCAGCCCTACGGTCCATCCACTCAATTTAGAACGGGCGTCTCCAAGAAAGAAGACTCGTCCCTCCACCACTCGCGAAACAGCCGCAGCCGGTCGCTCCTCTCCTTTGCGAGCTTCCTCCCAGTGTCCGTCTTCATCATGTCCTCGATGAGCAGGAGCTTCTCCTCGAAGTGCTCGATGGAATCATCCATCGATCTGCCGGTCTTTGCCCCGCCGTACGTGAAGCACCGTCCCACCCCGATGGCGCCTATTGCGTCGAGGCGGTCGGCGTCCTGAACGACTGCGAGCTCCGGGTGCGCCTTGATGAGGTCCTGGACCTTGGCCAGGTCTTTAATCTCGCTTGAGTAGCTGACGCCCAGGCAGATGGTCTGGACGTTCTGCGCGAGCTCCTCAGAGGCGCCCTTGTCGAGCAAGATCTGACGGACCATCGTGCTCGCGTCCTCGCCGGGCTTGAGATACTTGCGATCTCCTACATCATGTAGCAGACCAGCTAGGACCACCGTTTGGAGATCCAGGGCTGGGTTGGTGGTGACTTCCTTAGTATAAATATAATGAGCCTGTCCCACGACACGCTGGATGTGGCCGAAGTCATGTGAGGCATCGTAGTTGCTCATGTAGTCCCTCACGAAGTCGGTGACGGTCTTGATAAGGGGATCGGTACCCAGCGAGTCAACGATAGCCATAGTTTCGTTTCTTCTCTTTTACTCTGGCCATCGTGACTCGTTAGTAGCCGTCCTCGTAAGGTGGAGATAGTTGCAAAAATTTCTTAAGAACCAACAAAGAAGTGAAGAGCCCGTTAGAATATAATATGAGAGCAGAAGTCTGGGGACCTAGTAATACTGTATCTAAGTCAAGTCCAGATTGACTTGGTATCAAAGCCAGTATACCAATGGTAAGAATGGGTGGGTGTCTTGTTCGACCATGGTGGGTTCACAAGGGGCATGAAAGTCGGGCATAGTCTCACCGTAGATCGAAGATAGGTCTACACGGAGAGACTCTGACCAGCGAAGATGGATCTCCTCTCGTTGAGACAAGAATAGTCAAGGAAGACGGAGCGGCCCGGCTGGCACTTCGGAACTGGCGCCTTGAAGCGAGCGACACAGGCGGAAGAGGAGATGGACGAGCGGTGACGCGAATGCAACGCTTAACCGCCGATGCTGCAGTCAGATATTCAGGCGAGTTGCTCTCTAAAATCGGGCGCAATTAGCAATCAATATCAGAGCGAGCTGCGTGGATCACTGTGCTGCTTGACAATGCTTGATGTCTGCTACATCCAATGGTGTACGAAGGCTACCCCGTCGTATCGATCGAGACTATCTCAAGCATATCCGTTCAGGCACGACACGAGGCAAACACCCCTTCTAGACTCGTGGAGATGAAGGTGGAGGTGGATTGCGTGTGACGAGAAAGAGGTTCCTCACATACCCGCCGAAGCTACTGAATTGCATGCATTAGGCCGAGAGATGGACAGACGGGGTCTCACTTGATGGTGTACAGAACGGAGGAGATGAGGGTGTGCTATGTTTCTGACCAAGAGGATTGAATGACTTGCCTGATAGATAGATTGTGGAGTGTGTGGGAGGATTGCTAGGCTCCTAGGCAGGATGAAGGGCGGGAAGGGTGGAGAGGTGGAGACGGTGTACAACGGCGGGCCGCGCGAATCTGACCGCGGGAATCGGCATTGGAGACACCTGGAATCGTGCAAATTGGCTATGTCGTCCAATGGATAGACGGGCAGCTACAGATGACGGCAACAGCAGAAGCAGTCACGACATGGCAGAAGCAACAAGAATAAGTGGCGTGCAAAGTAGACACCAACAAGCACATTGCAGAGATGTCACGAGTTCCCGCTCAACTCATCTCCTAGAGAGAGCCAGGGAGCGTTCTCGGACTGGTTGCAACTTCAAGCGCCGTGAGCAGCTACAGAAAGTCAAAGACAGGAACTTTTGCCATCGTTTTCACCGAGCTGACAAGGTCGTATTCATGATGGTTGGCTGATCTGGTAGCGGGAGGCCCGTTCCGCATCTTGGGGTATCGTGGTATTGTTACCATGAGAAGACCACTTGGTAGACTCCATGCGTCGTCAAACACAACGCGATTGCCGTGTCTCGGTCGCTTAGATGGCATGTTGAGCCGTTTGCTGAACAACATCGTGATCTCCGGTTCTTGGATTCCGGGAGATTGGCCGCAACCGCCTACGTTTGCCAATGGGAACAGTGAGAAGCTCTGAAGCCCTCGACGAGCATGGAAGGTGTTTCCTGCATTGCATCAAAGACTGCATGGAGCTACAGGCCAGCTCCTCGTTTATATCCCTGAAGAGGGGCTCACGGGAACATCCAGAGGGGAGGATGACCCATCTATGGGCATATGTCCAGGCTGGGGCAAGTTGTAGCGAACTGGCCGTGCATACAGCCAGGCTGACATGTCGACTTGTTCTCTGAGTCTGTCTTCTCCGGACGGCAGAATCCAGGCTGCTCGTGAGTGGTAGCAGGGTGCAAGTGCCTCGCGACCGGCAGTGATGGAGATGGGGGCAGAATGAAAGGCTGTCCAGTAAGCGGGCGAGCTCGCTCAAGATGATCTTCGGCCTGTGCGCAAGAGCACAATTCGTCTGTTCGTCCGCATCATGCAGCCACCGTCGACGCGGGTGGCAGGGTGATTGGCCGTTTATTTTTGACGCCCTCGATGGAGCCGGGCTGTCGTGATATCTCTTCGAGGCAAGTCGATATAGGTGCTGACCCCCGCTATTGGCCAACGAGGGCAGGGATTTAGACGCCCATTGGTCCCGGAGAGGACTAGCGCCATCAGCACGCCCGTTCACACATATCGGCTTCTCACTCCTACTCGCTCTTCACCACGCCAGCCAACCCCAAGGCCGCTCTCTCTCTCCTCCTGCCCATCTTCTCCGTCTGCCAGCATATTTCCCTCTTTCTAGCCGTTCACGTTGCTTAACCGCCCGTCATGCAGTAGTGCCCCGTACTACGCGTGGTAGGTAGTAGTTGTGGTGGTAGCACTTCCAAGGTTCCCTCTGCTATCGCCCTGCCTGTCACGCCTCTCCTTTACGTCCTACGGAGTGACAAGCAGAATGCAGGCGGAGACTACTGACAGTCGTCTCCCCTCTTTTCTGTGATATTGCTTCCTGCACTCCACCACACAGAAGCCGCCGTCGGTGGCATGGCCCCCTCATTGGCTTGCTCCCCTATTGGCGATATGTAATGTCTAGTGTGAAACTAGTGCATGCCGGCCGGCATGGGCCTTGATTGCGCTGCTGCTGCAGGGAAGCAAGGCCTTCCACGAACGGTGTTGCTGCGTTCTGGCTGCTGGCCTGGGTAACCACCAGCGGAGGCCGTGATATCTGGCCGCGCTCATATAACAGTTGGCTTCCTCTCCCTCCCTTTCCGTCCTTTCCTCTCTTCTCTTCTTTGGCAAGCATTCAACTCTCAAAATCCAGTTTCTGTTTTTCCTCTTTCCCCCTTTGTTTTTGTGTGTTTTCTCATCGTAGAGCTGTGCTCTGTCGATTAATTCAAAAAAATCTAATACCAAAATCCCCAAAGTTATCACAATCTCTCTCTAGTTGCCGGTCAACTATCCCCCCTAATAAGCAAAAACTGGTTTTTACTTGCTCATCAAAGTCGATATACTCAAAACAAATCTTTGTGTCTCGAGATTTCTGCAGCATCGACATTAGTAATAATATAAAAATGGCGGCTACTCAACTATCATTCTCTCTCCGCGTCTCTTCAGGCGTCAAGACCGTTCATTTGCTCGGCTCCTGGGACAACTACGTCGGCCAGCTCCCGCTCTCCAAGGACAAGAACTCCTCCAAGGGAACCTGGAAGGGCACCTTCAGATTCCAGGGCACCACCCTTGAGGCCGGCCAGCGATACTGGTACTACTACATCATCGATGGTTACCACGTCTCCCACAACCCCAGCGAGGCCTCAACCACAGAGCCGACCACCGGCCGGGAACTCAACATCCTAGATGTCCCATCCGAGAAGAAGTCCAAGTCCTCATCGCACTCTTCTTCCAAGGACAAGTCATCCAGCAAGCACTCCTCCTCGTCCAAGCACCACTCATCATCCAAGGAGAAGTCTTCCCGCCACCGATCCTCTGACATCCCCAAGGGTCGTCCCCTGTCCGTCTCCCAGATCAAGGCCCCCAAGCCCGTCGCTCCCCACGCCACCAAGAACATCCTGAACGCCGACTTCGACGAGGTCGACGACTTGGCTCAGCGCTTCGGCTCCGCCGGCATTGACGACGACTACTACGGCGAGATCATCACCGACTTCGACAGCGACACCGGCTCGCCCGTCTCCAGCAACGGCTCCTCCCTGTCCTACCGCTCCGACAGCTCCAGCCCCATCTCGAGCATGTCCGGCTACAGCACGCCCGGCTCAGACTGCAGCTCCTGCACCTGCGAGCGCTACGGCATCACCCGCAAGGGCGACCGCGTCCGCCTCGACTGCGGCGGCTCCCGCTGCGGCTACGGCGAGGACAGCTCCGAGTGCTCCTCGTCCGAGGACGAGTACGTCAGCCCCGCCAGCTCGCGCCGCAACGGCATGGTCGTCCGCGCATAAGCCGTCTGATGTCCGCCTCGGGGGAGGACCAACACGAACATCGCCCTCTTCACACCAGAGAAACGCCAGGCTGATAGAAGAAACCAAATCAAAAGCCGTTCATTCATTTCCGAGCAAAAGCGAGATGGCGTCGCCATGCCATCGCCTCGCGGCTCGCGTCTTGTTGCTAATGCACCACCTGTCCGTTGCACACGGGCGAGGCACGGCGAGGAAGGGGGGCTGTGGCCGCCGGGGCTGGGCTTTCACTGGCATCAGCAGGCTGGTCGCTCTTCCGAGAGCCCCTGACCCGCGTCCCCTCCTCTATCCTCTGTGTCTCCGCGTCAACACTTGTGCCCCTGTGCAACAAACCCCACCAGCTGGGTCCAATGCTGTGGCCTACTTTAAGTTATTTCGTTTGTCTTGAGATACTGTTTTTCGGACAACATTCCGGAGCACCGGGGCGGGCCTTTTTTCGAAGGTCTCCTCCCCGGACCAGCTCCAGGGCAAGACTGGGGAGGTTTTTTTTCCCATGCCTCACACGGGGACGTTGGTGAGGCTGTCAAATCATGTGGTCTACGGAGCTGGATGTTTTGGAAGGTTTCCTGTAGCCAGCCATATGAATCAAAGACACCAAAAAAAAGAAAGCAAGGCAGACATTCAGTCTTAACACCTGCCTCTAGGACAGTGGGTAGATGACGATTGAATCTATTCATTGGACATGTGCCTCGCTCTCCCGTGACTTTCATGTGATGTGCCTTGCCGTGAAGACCGATTTGTGACAATTTCCAACTCGACTCTTATACAATAATAGCCTATCATGTCTGCTTACCCCTGAATCCCTCTAGAGCCTCTGAATCCGGAGGAATCCTAAGGATGATATGCAAGATGACATGCAGCCACGTGGTGGGCAGAAAACTTCGAGTTCACAATTATTGGTCACAATTTCGAGTACTAAGGAATGCTTATAAAGGAAATCAATTAGCAATAACTATCCTGGTCCGTCCACACCGAACGGTGGTCGGCCTATCTAGTGTTCTCTTTGGTGTTGACCTTTCCATATTCCCAGACCAGCTGACTTGTTCCAGGAACCCCTCCCCTCCTCAGCCTATGTACACCAGGGAATCGCGTGTTGTGTGTCGATGGTACAGCGAGAATGATCAATTGGACCTCTTCCTCCTGACGCCTTTGTCATGCTCTGTATAATTGAACAGAAAAGAAAAATAAAATAACCGATGTGGTTTGCCTTCAACAGGGGATGATACCCCTCATATCCTAAACAGGGTTCTCGTCTTTCGGGTGTCGCGGGTTGAGGAAGAATCCCCCCTCCAACTATTGTGTCGTTCGACTAACCCTCAAAAGATGATACCAACTGAAAATCCATTGGGTCGATGCCATATGACCTTTATATGTAAATGCGATATCGCAAAGAAAAGAAAACCAATACCCATTTTGGTCATGAATGGTAATCCAAGGAGACGGAGGCCGTTATGGCCCGGTCATGTCTGACGTTCATTAATGTTCATAACCGGCTCCACGTTGCCAAGGGCTGAAGTAGTTGTTAGTTGCTATGACCTTGAAGGATATGGAGTTTGTAGACTTACCTGGCGTTGTTTTGTGATCGGAACCCGGCGGGGCTAGCGTTGTGCTGTGAACGATAGCCGGAAGACAGGTTTGATGTTGAGCCGTTGAATGGACTCGGGGCTCTGTTCATGGACTGGCCACTGTGTTGCTGGCGGAGGTACTGTTGTCCTCCGTACGGGCTCTCATACCCTTGCTGAGGCGGCCGTCCGTTCGCGGGGAACAAAGGAACGGAAGGATCCACGGGTGAGCGAGGAGGCTCGTTGTAGTTGGGCCGGTATGAGTTAGCTGTGCCTGGACGAATCGGCATGTTCGAGGGGTCGGTTCGGCGCTTAAGCGAATCCGATGAGATCGAATCGGCGTCGTCATCAAGATCCAGACCAGGCTTGTAGCCACCCTTGTCACCTCGGGCAGTTGCTGCCAGGGCATCCAGTTCGGTGGTCGTGGTCAGCTGAGTCTGCGACTTCATGAAAGACGCACGATCGTCAGCCATGAACTGGTATCTGCCGTCGGGGTTCTTGCGGAAGAAGACAATGACAGTGGTGACGATAAGCATGATCAGGAGGACCAGTGCAAAGACAGCGTTGGCAATCCAGAGAACCACACCGACGACACCAGTGACCAGAGGAGGCTGGTTGAAGACATCCGTGAAGATCAACAAGAAGACGGCGTTCAGGAAGTTGATGGCGCAGATGGCAATGTTGAACGAGTTTGTGCTCTTGTCCATCCAAGGTCGGAGGACAGAAGCCCCAATGAGAGCACCGGCCTCGATCAAGATGAAGGCAATGGCCTGAACAGTGCCGCTCGACTGGGCGAAGGCAATGAACATGCCCTTGATGAGAATGTAAATGAGGTAGGGAACAATGAAGTAGTAGGCGGAAGCGCGGAATTGCACGTAGAGGAAACCCCACTTGTTCAAGGCCTGAGGGTCGGAGAACAGGATGTAGGCAGGGTTTCTGTGCATGGCGACGGAGCGTCGTGCAATACGGATCACCTTCGATGCAGCCCATCCAAGGGTAGCAGCCATGCCGAAGAAGAAGAAGACGGCGAGAACGACCTCAGCAGCAGAGTCCTTCTGTGTGAACTCCCACATGCACAGGATGGTCATCTGAGGGAATCCGATGAGAGTCATGCGGAAGAGAATACCCTTGAGGACAGTGAACCAGCCATTGCGGAATTCGAGGAACTTGTCACTGGCCATCCACTTTTGCTTAACGGCCAATTCGCAGAAACCCTTGAATGCGGCAACACCGAGGATGGTGAAGACGACGAAAATACAGAAGAAGGCCAAGCCAGTCATGAACAGGTTGGTCGACTCAATCGCTGCTCGGAAAGCAACACGCTGAATGCCATAGACAAGGTAAGCTCCAGATCCAGTGGTGATGTTTCCTCGCTTGGCGAGCTTGATTGCAGGCTCAACAATGCTTCGGGGCATCATGGCAATGGAACGCTTGAACAGGTTTAGGGCAGGCTCAGCAACCTCCAGAGAGCGCTTCTGAACCTGAACAGATACGGTGGTCAAAGAGTCGAAGAGCGTGGATGGCGTGCCTCCTGTTGCTCTCTGATACCATGTGAAGATACTCTGCATAAAGCCAACTCTAATAATGCCCATACTCCACTGGAAATCCTGTGTCCAAGACATCACAACGGGCGGTAACGGAACGCCGGTAAGACCAAGCATAGCCTGAGCCTGGAAGTAGCCGAACAGAGAGAGCGCGTTAGCGGCGACGTGAGATGCAGCGTTGGAGTGACCCAGTCCAGAGACAACGGCGGATGAAGCCAGGGCGAGACCAGCGACGATAGCGGTGGCCCACTTCACGCCAATCAAATCGACAGTCTTTCCGTTTGAGACGTTGGCCTCGACGCAAGCGACACTGTCACCAGTCTTGCTGCCATCCTCAGTCATGTTGATGAAGACCTTGACCTTGGCATCAAGATCAGGGAAACTGTAGGCGATTCCAGGAATCTGGCTGACGGCATCCTCGCTGACGGGCAAGACGAAGGTCAGAGGAATCTTTCCAGCAGTCATGGGGCAAAGACCGGCGAGGCCGACGTCGCAAGGATCGACGGTTGTCCTGATAATCTGGTATCCATAGGCGGAGATGGCTACATCGAAAACAACGCTACCCTGAATAGAGGAGACAGCAACAATGTCGACCAGTGCAGAGCCGTTGTTTGGCGTGAAAACGACGCTGAACAGACTAGCAGTGAAACCAGAGTTCTCCTGGCATGTGTTCAGAGAATTTGATTTCAGTAGCGGCTCTCCCGCAACGGTCGGGGCGATGAACGCTGCGAGAGAGGAGAGAAGGAGAAGCGGTGTCCGTAATGAGAACCGCATGGTGAGAGATGAATTCTGAAGACGCTCTCGATGTGACTTGTGGTGCCCGGCGGGCTATTAGTCGAGAGGGATGTCTCGTGTCGTCGAACCCGTAGATTTCTTTCTTTGTTGTCCTTCACGAAAGACCGGCTCTAGATGGCGAAGGGAAGAATCGAGATCTACCACAGCATCCAAGGTAGATCGAGCGAGGGAGATTGCGGTGTTTGCGGATGAAAATGTGGCGGGTTGCAAAAGAAGTCGTAGGAGAACGGAAATGGATTCAGGAGGCGCGATTCGGTAGGGGGTGTCCGCTTGTTGTCGGATGGTCGAGGCAGGGAATCGAGTAGCGAGAGAAGTCTGCCTGTGGACAAAAGTGAAGTCAATTCAACTTCCAACCCCGAATCGAATGCTAGCGATGGTGGTGATAACGCGGAGAAGAAAGGAAAACGGCGAGCCGGTCCTTCCTTGCGGGCGGAATCGAGATGTTGGATTGTGGGATGTTGTTTGGCGTTGCGCTGCGTTGCGTAGAAGAGAAAGACGACGAGCGAGTGATGGATGGATGGGTGGATGGGATTGGGGGGGTGGGAAGGGGGTAGGTGGGTAAGGTAGCGCAGAGCAGCGGAGCGTAGCGTAAAAGCAGGAATGGACGGAAGTCGGTGCAGTGCGTAATGAAAGGGGAGAAACTGGGTTTACGGGGGTTGGCAGCACCACCCACAGCCATACACAGACAGACACAGGCAGGAACGGGAATCTGGGCACTGGGCACTGGGCACTGGAGACTGGAGGGGGCAGGTGCCAATTACGCGGACTGTCGGGCAGATCAAAGTCACTCGCTCTAGTCACCCCGGCAGAGATGAGTGCTCTTGGCGCGCATTGGTACAAAAGTGTATTCTGCCGGCCCACCCGATTTACTAGCGCATGCCAGATTCTGACAAGTCTCCCACTCCCAAGGTGGGCTATGCCGTCAGTGATCTCCCTTAACACGAGTACTTCGTGTTCACTTTTCCCTCGCTCTCTGCAAGGTACCTGCCGTACCCGCTGGCGAAAGAAAAACGCCGGCACAAACCATAATAATAACGTGTGCCGTCAGCACCTCACACGACACGCCTAGGAATGCGACGTTAGGAACGCTTGCCCACGTCCCCCAGAAAAGGCTGCTCGACTCGACTGCAGGAAGAAAAAGATCGTATTCGACCTGACCGGCCGCGTGCTCAGAAATCTACGCGCATCCACAAACGAGGCGCGGTCTTCTAGAAGGAAGCAAAATAACATTACCACCTGCGGGGAATGTGGCCATCGACACGGGGTCGACGGGCTACGTTACCTACCGTAGATTATGATAGACCAACCAGACGGACAGCGAAGCCCGTGAGTGCAAGCAAACACGCTGCCAGCCGTCTCTTTCAGAGTCTTCTCGTAGTGAGCGGCGGTGGCCAAGAGGCGCGCATCCGTCCACTACAAAGGGAAAGCCGGAGGTGCTGCAGGCATGGATTCTGGCACCAAAAGCGTCATTGTCCCTCCTTTTGGACGCTGTGGCCAAGGTTCGAGCGGCCAGCAGGTCAAACCTCATCATCATCGTCCTCAATAATCATGCTTGCTTGGTCGGCGTCCGTTCTGCACCATCAGCTTTGGATTCACGGACCTGCCAGACCCGAGCGTCTGGCGATAGATAACTCGTCCAAAATCCCCGATTATAACCAGGATGGCGCTGGCGCTCAGCGAGGGCCCGTGAGGCGACACTCTGACAGGGCAAGCGAGCAACTGGAGGAACTCAGGACGACACACAGAGGCGCTCTCAAATGGCAGAGTGGGCCAATGGGGACGTCTCGTCACGGAGCACCTGGGGATTCTGCCGCAGCTCGAGACACAAAGCGTGTCTGGACATATTACGGGCTAGCACAGCCACGCTCGGCCCAATGTCCAACCCCTGCTTCCCCGTCTATCCCTTTTTTAGGGGTCCCATCTGCGTATCCCATTTGGGTGTCCTCATCACCGTGTAGTGTGAGTAGTGTAGACACAGTTCTTGCCCTGGTCTGCCATCCAGTAGCCGTGTGATGTGTCTGGTGATGCACCTTCAACCTTAATGCATGTTCAGGTGTGCTGTGGTTGCTTAATCACCATGCATCATAGCCACCTTGAAGCTGGCTGTCACGAACAAAAGAGCTCGTATGACTGACACCCATCTTGTGGTTACAGGGCGGTGGAGCGTTGCATCTCCAGTACTGCCACCAAAATGTCTTACCACGATACAGCCCAGTCTACCACAGTATGGTACAGTACAGTCCACTACGTTTCTGGCTGGGCGAAGAAAGCTCAGTGGACATTCGCGTGAATGAGAAGTGTTACACCAAGCAACGAGGCGTCCAATGCTGCAACGCAGAGAAACATCCACATGCCTGTCGCGCCTGGGCGATCGCAGCAAAACTCGGCCAGGGGAATGGGTTTTATTTTGAGAAGCACTGGAGCCCTCTTCTTCCTGAGTTTGCTCTCAAAACCCTCGATTGACATCACTCTATCCATGCGTTCCCCATAACATGCCGATCCTGATCGAGGGCATTCGAGATTATCAAACACAAGGGCACGACGGCACGTCCCCTCGCTTGGATATAATTGGCCTGTCACCCTTTTGAGTTGTGAAACGGGTGTGCACCCCTAGGCGGGGATGGCATGTTTTGCAACTCCTCCAGAAAACTGGGCTTCTGATGTCTGTGATCGGCCAAACCCTATGAATCTAGATGCTTCTCCGTCCGTCGATGTCCTGTCGACAGCGGTTCAGTGAATTCTAGGTTTCGGGAAGGCAAGATAAGCTCTTGAGTGCATGCGAATCACCGGGCCGGATATCCTTCGAAGTTGTGACCCGTAAATCCCCTTGCTCGTACGGACGGCTATCGTCAATGCAGAAATAGGCATCATGTCAAGTGATTCACATGTCATGAACAGCTATAATCCCAGCATCCCCAGGACAGGATCAAGCTTTAAGGGTGGTTTATATGTACTATCATTGATCATGCTATCATGCAAAGTCCCATCCAGTCCAAGACCAAGCCGTGTCGCTCTATCCAGGCACCGTCTTGTAGCCAGCGGTGAACCATGCTGTCCCAAACGCCAGAAGAAAACCCAAATAGTCGTAAATGCTTCCCTTAAATACCGGGTGCCGATCATGTCATCTTTATACAGCCTGAGAATCGTGGTGGGCAATCAGCCTGCCTACCAATTGGGTGCTTGTGTCTCCAATTTCACACTTTCTTCATAGCCAGAGCGGCGTCTCTTGCCAGGGCTTGTTGCTGAGGGAGTAATCAACGCCATGCTTATAGCTAGCCAGAAGCTCCTCCTGGTCAACACCACAATGTGACTGGCCATCGCGGCCCTCGAACCAGCCAAGCCCGTAGGTTTTACCCAGGCGGTCGAGTGTGCGAGCCATGTCAGAGTGGTTCAGCTTCTCAGTGCCCACAAAGTCGTAGAGCATCTTGCTTTGATGGATGAAGGCGAGGATCGACGCGATTGTATTCGGCTGTCGAGGCAAGAACGGATGTCTCCTCCGCAAAAATGCAATGGTCGCGATGACTGTCATGTAGAAAAGGATGAATAGCGCCATCCCTAGCGAGATCCAGAAAGACAGCGCAGTCTCCTGGCCCGCATTGATCTGCTTTTCCGTCTCGTTGTCAGGCTTGGGATGCCCAGGCTGAAGATGCTCAATGAAGTCTTTCCCCTCAACTGTAGCCAAACTCGTGACGAGAATCGTCAGAATCTCCGCAATGACTGTGCCAAAACCAACGAAAAAGACCAGGAAATGGCCGTTGAAGAATGCCTTCAGAGCCACCCAGGCGAAGGGCATAGCAGTGTAATCAAGCGTGAGCGTCTTCGGTGGTGCGTGCCGGCGCCAAAGGAGATAAAAAGGCTCCATCATGCGCACGTCTGTATCCAGACTGCCCCAACCGAGTTTGATGCAGACTGCAAGCGCGGTTACAACCCACGGAGCCTTGTCAGTAAGATATCCTGCCGGCGAGAACAAGAAGACCGGTATAAACACCATGAATGCCCCAATGCCCAGGATGAATGGAATTGCGCCAGTTGGTCGCAGCATCAATGGATGCGGATTCTCCGATAGATGATTTCGTTCATACTCAGTCTCCGCGTGCTTCAACAATGGTGTGTCGTCATCCGGCGCCAGTGAGGAGTTTCGCAGAACATACCGATGGCTTTTCAGTTTATGATGTATATCATTATGTGTCGCAACGTCCATGTCCTTGAAGTCCATTAGGATGTGGCTGACATTGGCCATCGCGGCTAACCCGGCGATGCCCTTAACATCGGCGAGCAGGCCCGACCTTCTCCTCTGCAACTGGTAGAACAGCACACACCCCAGAACGGCAATGATGACAAGGGTTGCAGTCAAGAACCGGGACCAAACTGGGTGGATCAGGATCTGCTTCTCACCATCCGGATCCTTCAACCGTGCCGCTCGGTCGGGGGATAAGACTATGGACGCCGCACCGAGAGTGGGCACTAATGAGACAGCCAATATCGACGCGACTGACGAGACAGCTACAGCGTAGTGCTGAAGGAATATGGCTCTGATGGGGCGTAAGAAGTTAAAGTGAGTTATATAGTCCACATTGATCGACCTATTCGCGGACGCACCGCCTTCTTTCGAGAGTTGATAAAAGGCTTCTAACCGCTTCACTTCGAAATCTGTGATCTGCCACAAAACGCCAAAACTAACAGCAATTATTGTCGGCGCGAATTTGAAGGCGAAGTACACAATCGGCTCAATGTCTCCTGGGGCGTGGAACTTCACCAAGGGCTTCCTGGCAGACTTTTGGTAGAGGACTTCTTGTCCAATTCCAAGACCCGCGGACAGGATGACCAATAGTAGCAAGTACGGCCATCTCATAGAGAATGGCCTCCAATTCGGCTGGGGATAGAAGATCTCCGTCCTTTTGTTCTTGACAGGGAATGTTGAACCGCGTATATTCGACATACCTAGGCCCGTGTTCGGGCCCGTCACAACGCTGAGGTCCACTTCGGATGCATTCATATCGGGTTCTTCCACAATCACTTCAATCACTTCTCCTCGCTTGTTTGCCTCACTCTGAGCAAGGTCTTTGCGGGTCGCCATGCGACTTATAGTCGGCGCCCTTCTCGAGAATGACCGAGACAGAGCTCGAGTTACCGGTGGGCCAGTTGCCAACAGGTCAGACTCCCGTATTGTCGTGCCAGCCTTGAACCCTGCTCCTAGACCACCAGTCAACCTGCCTTTAGCCTCCTGCTCTTGCATACTCTTAATAAACGGATCGTTGCTACTCATTGGCCCAAGTGTAGACGACCAATCTACCGGAGTGCTTTCTGGCTCGTCCCTCGCGATCGGAGAGTATGGCCCAGAAGTGCCCATCGGCGCGGCAGACGACAGCAGAGCCAAGTCTATGCTCTCACGCCCTTCGTCAATGGTCTCCGGCGTGTCTCGCAAGGTGCCTCCGCTGTATGTACTGCGTATTCTGCCGTTTGCTGAAGAACCTCCCGTGACTGGTACCGGCTCGTATCCTCCACCACTGCCATATGCCGAAAACGGCATTGACCATCCTGACGAGCCTGAGTATGCCCGTTGCGCTGGCGAAGGTCGACTGCCGTCGTTCGAAGACTGGAGGGAAACGATCGACTCTCGGCCGCGAAGTGGGGGGTTGGCTGGGTAGTCATCGTTGTAATTCTCGAGGTCTGTGATATCAGAGATATTCGAGATGCGATGGCTCAGAGAGTGATTATCTGTCGAGCCTGACCGAGGCGGCCCTCCTGGCCTTCCGTCATAGTACGCCATCTTTCAACACAGCATGTTCCGGCGCAGGGGGTGGTGTTTCGACGATCTGCAGGATTCGTGGAAGCTATAGGCGCCTTATGGGGGTATTCGATAACAGTAAACGAGTGACACCACTGCAGAACAGTGAGAAGAGGGAGTGATCACAGAGTGTATTTCGCGATCAGCAGTGACTCTATTCCATGAAGGTCACGGTGCATGAAAGGCCTCTTGTATCTTGGAACGAGGGTAGAGAAGAGCGCAAGTTGTACGTCAGTCGCAGGCACTCGGCAGTGTAGATGTAGGATGAAGACACAGGATGCCCTGCGACAGTGCTGGCGGGCAGTCCTTCCAGTTGGATTCCTCAGGGTCCTATGCGGCTGAAATCTGTTTGATCTGCCTCTCCCTCACTCTCAGTAGCGCTGAGCGGAGGCCTGGGGCTCGCTGGGGCAGGCAGGCGAGGCTCCGTGCTAGTTTCGAAACGAAGTCCACTTTGGGCAAGAATATGGCGCAAAATTGGAGCTCTGGAATCACTAGGGCGTCTCGCGTCAAGCCGTGGCGGAGCTGTCAACCTATTGCGAAGAAACGCGAGAGACAGAAAGAAGAGCGTCTCAGGAACGTGACAGTCAAGGAGAAACGAAGCATGTCAAGAGTCAAGAGTAGTTGTCAGATCCCCAACCCAACAGTAGTTGCTTCTGTAGGGAGTCAGAAGAGGACGGAGAAGCTGTACGGTACGGATCTCTCAGCTTGGCTCTGACTCTCTATATCGGTGACGGTTGGTGCCGTAAAGACCAATCAAGAGTTGCGAATAGCGAGGGCCGAGCAGTTGACCTGCTGGACTACGCAACTTGAGACTTCCGATCCATTTTGTTGGCACTGATCGCATGCCTGGGCTGGTGACCTCGTGTAGAGAGACCGGACGCGATCCTGGGGAGACCCCCGCGAGGCCTCACTTCAGCGTGGTTGCCGCTGGGTGCTAATCCAATCATGGATGCACTCCGCGTTAGTGGGCACTGGGAACTAACTGTGGTGACGGAGCCGTTAGGCGTACCCGCCAATAGCATCCCCTTCCCTAACGCTATTAATAGGGTGCATCCGACCGCATAGCGGAGGTTGGGGGCTGAATTCGTCCAAATTGGATGTCCAGCTCCTCGGGACAGAAGCCTGCAAGACCGCATCATGGCCTGCTTTGGTCTGGGCTCCTCCTACCAACATCCATCAAGTCGTCAGGATGAGTAGTATCGTGATTTTGAACAACCCGTTGATGATTTCCTTCACAAATGAAGGCACTCATGCTATGCAGGCGATACTGCGTCGCTGTTTATCCTCAAAAGCCCAGTCTAGGTGAGTCAAAGCTTCTTCATATCAGTGCCTCACAACATCCAGGTCGACACTCTGAATTTCACATCTGAACGCAAATACTGCTCGTGTGTTGACCCTGTCGAATCAAAAGGGAATAAATGCATTGCATCACTAGACGCAAACACTCTCGGGCCTCTACCGTTGTGGTGGCTGAGAAGGTTCACTGCAATTTTAGACTTTCCCAAGAGCTCTATCTAGAAATGACAGTATATCGAGGATTGTAGGCGAGTCAAGGTCCAGCCATCCCTTGGGTGAGGCTAAAATTGCAGTGAAAGCGCACTTGGCGGCAATTATGTGATTGGAAAGAATGTGTCGGAGAGGCAACCTTCCAAAACGCAAGCTTACAGGGCATCGAAAAATAAGATATGATTCATCCGATCTTGCTGGACATCAATCTGAAATGCATTCAATTTGATGAACGGAACCCGAGTCTAGCAACTCATTACCGTGGGACAGACTTGCCGCCTTTTCCTTACTTGCAAGATGCAGAGCAGCCGAACCACCGCCGGCTAATTAACCCGTTGCACGGTGGCTGCAAGATCCTGATCTCAACGGCTGCTGAGCCTTGTCTGCTTCCACGGCCAAAATCATCTCTACAAGTGTCGTACTGAGAATGGTGATTCGTCACGCCTGGAATTGATATGCTGTGCTTGTGTGTTAATTGCGTGTTGAATTGTCCGACTGTCGTGCATCCTATGAAAACGGTGATGGACACGGCTCAAAGGGGCAGATCACGATCCCCTTTCGTCGACTGGTCGTCGTTCCTGTAACACACTTCGGTATTTGGCAGAATTCAATCTGTCTGCTCCGCACCGGTAGGAGACGTTTCACTTCCCCCTTGAGCTGATCGCTCGTCATGAGTTCATGCTTCTGCGCCGAGTGAGAGAGCCCCCCTGTCTGGTGACAGGTCACGCCGCGCCGGTTGAAGATTCCCTCATAATGCGTGCGCTCTTATACCACGGCGTCTGCCGCTCCTGTCTGCCTGAAGGGGAGGTGGGCTTCTTCAGTCCTCATCTAGGACCGAGGGCTCTCGCAAACCGTCTTCGCTGTCGGTATTTGCGTTCGTTGGCAATAAGGGAAGAAAACAGAGGGAAAACATGGGCTCAACCGTCTGGACAGATGAGGAGTCGCAGTACATCAAGGCGATGCTGAACTGGAAGGAGAAGCCAGAGCATCTGGACAGCGCCAGGTCGAGCAGAGTCCTCCTCGGCTCTGCTCCCGAGACAGCCTTGAGGCAACCCGTCGGAGAATTCAGGATCCTCGTCATCGGCGCAAAGGGCGTTGGCAAGACATCCATCATCACAAAGGTAACGCAGGCTCGCTTCTCTTGTCTCCTCGCCCTGTGTTATGTGTGGCCAGTGTTGTCTGACGAAAAGAGGAGCAGTTCTGCACAGGCTCGCTACCTCGCAAGCCGGACCCTTTTTACGAGGGCGGCTGCCGCCATCCTGTCGAGCTCGACGAACAAGTTTATACGGCCGATGTGCTCGAACTTCCCACCAAGCACTTGCCCTCTAACCCGTTGCTCGAGCAGGCAATTGCAATCACGGAGGCCGCTGTTCTGGTCTATGCTGTCGACGACCCGGCCTCCTTTCGCCTGTGCATTAGTCTCGCCGAATTCATACGCAACAGCGTCGGCGCATCAGCCCGTGGGTACGGTCTCCTACTACTGGGTAATAAATGCGACATTGACGATGAAGACCGCCGCGTCCGGTGGGTGGAAGGTAGCAAAGCGGCCGCAACCGTGACCTCAGGGGTAGGCGGGCCGCGTGGGAGCATCGGCGGCGCCGGTCTGAGATGTTCTTTCATGGAAGCCAGTGCTGAATCTGGCGAGAACATTCGTGCGATATTTCCCTTGCTAGGCCGAGAGGTTCTCAAGTTGCGGTGGATCAACCAGCAGCGCCGCGAACAGGCTGAGCGGCGGCTGAGGTTGGCAAGTGGCATGGTTCAGACGGCGCCGGCCACCCCTACGGCGAAGAGACGCCTTGGGATTTGGAAGACTCTGACGACACCGTTCTTCAGACGGTGATATGCCCTCTGGTCTTGTTCACATCTATTAGTCTTGTTCATCTTAGCGTCTTTGTTGGGCAACTATCATCACGGTCTTATCACGCTTATTGTATACTGCTTTATCCCAGATCACCTCAGATACCTCACCATAGCGATGGAAATTAATGGAAGAAACCCCGAGTCATATTGGAACCCTGAATTGTCTTGTTCGGCCCGATCTGAAGAGCCAAGTGATGCAATATGTATGGCGAACCGCAAAAACAAGGCCAATCTTCCCAAGAAATCTCAAAGTCTCCTCAGGTCAAATCTAGTTGGTATTGGTAGTCCAGTCATAAGACCCAAGAATACTATAAGTACCAGTCTCAAATTTGTATTATGGTAATATTAATCTATTCATGACTCCGAATCACACAGCATTAGTGATAACGAGAGCGTAACAAAAGTCTATCATGTCCGTCCAACGCCGTGACGCTCGCACCAGTACAGTGAACCCCGTCTATACCCATAAAACCTTGATAGTCAACCCGCAATTACAACACGAACCAGAACGCGAGAGCGAGCACGCCAAAGCTCCACGACGACATGGCGACCAAAGCCCTGCGCGCTGCGTTCTCCACCTTTCCACAGCATTTGCTCCTGTCATACGTGACGTTGTTCTGGATAGCCGCGACCTCGAATACAGAGCCGGGGAACCCGCCGTACTCATAGTAATCAACTGTCAAGAAATTGGGCGCCCTTCCCCAGTCCGAGCGGCAGTTGTTCGCCGCCATGCCGAGACTTCCGTCCCCCGACACGTTGTTGGTCGTGTTGAGCGACGTGACCGCCGGGACGAGAAGAGAGGCGCCGAGGAGGCTCACCTCCACATTCAGGTTGTGGTTCATGATGTACATGGAGTTTCTAGCAGCCTCCACGTTCTCGTCTCCCATCAGTCTCGGTGGTCGCTGGACGGTGCAGGGGAAGCTGGTGTCCTCCGGATCGAAGGGCGTTTCCCAAAAGTATCCAAACTCGTCCAGGAGCCACGGAGCTGCGGTTGCGTTGTAGTTGTAGTCAATGAACATGACCGTCCTGACGCCCTGGAGAATGAGTTCCGAGAATGTCGGCCATTGATCGACCGTCCACGGCGCTGCCACGTCGGGTACATATGCATACTTCTGTATGCCGGTAGACTCAATGAAGGGCGCATACATAGAGGCATCAGAGTAGTTGCCGTTGCCCAGCAGAATAGTGACAACGTCGTATGGGTGAGCTGCCACCCAGGTCTTGACTTTGCCTAGCCAGTCGGTGATGGGACCGGCATCGAGAATGTCACAGCTCGTGTGGCAGAAGTGCGGCTCCGTGCCATTAGCGGGCCACTGGATTTGGCCCTGAAGGAAACGAATGCCGTCGTTGAGCTGAGTCGTTACGTCCAGGTCCTGGTTTGCAGCGGTGCTTCCGGATCTTATGAATGGTGAATTGTGACAGCCCACCATGGTGACATTGCTGTACTTTCTGGTGCAAAACTCAGGCCAGCCATTGCAGGGCTGTGTGTTTGTTGCGACAGGCGCTGTGGATGTTGAAGATGATGTGATGGAGAAGTTTCCTGAGAGTGTAGTTGAAGACGATGTCTTGACCGATCCGGTCAGAAATGTGACCGTCTCGGAGCTTGTGGATGAAGTGACTGTCGCGTTACTTGCGATTGAACTTAGAGAACCAGACGAAGATGTTGATCCGTATGATTCGTAGGTTCCTGTGGGCGTTGGATCCTCAGAAGTCGACTTTGTGCCAGTCAGCATGACAACGCCATCATCACTAGAAGTTGTTGTCGAATCTGCGGCTTGCGCCCGGATAGCCAGGAGCGCGATGACGACAAGATTGAGGAGCGCCATATTTCAGGCAATCCGGCAGGATACAGCCCGATGACAAGATTAAAGAAAGAGCATAAGATCAAACTACAGTGTAAGACATGCAAAAGAAGGAGATGCCGGTGGTGGAGAATGGAAGATGATTTCTCGATCTCAGACCCCGATTCCGAAAAGCCGTGTTTGTTCGATGAGCGCTACAAGGTGAGGTAGGTAAGCGGACAGCAATCGGCCCCCGGGACGCATCAAAATTTAAGGTGCCCTAGGTGCCCTAGGTGCAGTTTACCCCTGCTCTTGGAGGGTCTTCCAGCCTGTTCGGCGGGTCTGCTGCGGCAACGTCTCAAGCACTTCCAGATTTCGGGGCGGTGGATATCCAATATCATGTCCTACCTTGTCCCTACCGGTACTGATGCTAAATCACCTTGTATAAGACGATCAAGACATTTGGGATAACCTTAAACATTTGTGGAATCATCAACGTTTTGTAAGCGATTCTCTCAGATTCACATTCCCATTTACTAGGACATAGCCTACCTGCCTGCGTAGGTAGCACCGTGAAGACTGAGTCCGTATTCGGTCAGCGCTGAAGCGCTGAAGCCCTTGCTGCTCCTGGCGCTTGGCTGTGCCTTCATGACCATAACCACACCATACCGCACCCGGACAGCACTTCGATTCGCCGTGTCTTGCCCTGGGCGGCCAGATCATACACGTGTACCACCCGTGCGGTACTGTGCAATAGGCTGGCGGTCAGGCGATGCCCACTTGAGGCGGGTTGGCGATGCAGGATTAACTGGGGCAGATATTGCGATGTGAAGACAAAACTTGATAGCGTCTCTCCAGGTGATGTCACACACATGCCCCAACTTGCTCAAGCTGAAGAGACGTCGCCCGGCATTACTGCATAGTAGAAGGCTTCTGCAGCGTGGTGGAGCCGCCCGCCAGTTCCGCCCTACCAGCCCGCAGGGTCCCTCCCAGTCGCCGTCCGGATGAGGACTGCCACGAGGTACCACCAGAGCCATAGGTGAAGCCTCACTTGGGGGTGATACTCTGGAACCTCTCGAGAGAGTTGGCCACAAACAAAGGAGATGGTGCTATAGCTGTCTCAGAATGCACCCATTCTCTGTGTCTGTTACGGGTACAATTTCGCTATCACGAGCAGAAACAGACTGACAGGCGACAAGTGCCCGTAGAGATTAAAGGTACCAGTAAACGAAAGTCACTCAGCCACTGCCCCACCGACCTTCAGGGACTTGCGGAGCCCAATGGAGCGGCCCCAGCAGGCTCTCCCTACGACGGCTTGGCCACTTTGGGTACGCGTAACCTGGAGGTCGTTGCCGTCACTGGCTCGTTGATGCTCCAACAAACCTTAGGAGCTTAGGTACTCATGGGCTTTTTTTTGGGGGGAAAGGCGTCACGCTGTGTGATCCTACCCTACCTTACCTTACCTTGACCTTAGCTTTTCGTCTTGGACTGCCCATCGAGAGCGTCTCCTATGCTCCGGCTTCAGCTGAGATACAGCCTTGTCCAAGACTAGGTCCAAGGCTCGGCGCCTCCATCTCAATTTCTCGGAGAAAATAAACATCTTGGCTGCTGCCGGTAGGCGTCCGGTCGCTCGTTCGTTGCTATCACGATCACAGCCCGGAGCTACCCTTGTTCTTTCACCAGCGTTGAGCGCTTCTTACACATTCCAAAAACCTCGCGACGCGTTGCTCAACACCAAAGAGGATCCTCACTAAATCACAGGATTCAGTCATGGCTTTACCCTCGATACTCAAGGTCCGGAGGCGCCATGTGGACAGAGCTTCAGCAACCGGCTCAGAGCGGCCATCTAAAGAGACTACCCGGAACGAGATCAGACCAGCAGACCTGAAGAGGTCGACCAGAACGCGACGCATATTCGCATTCGCAGCCTCCTTTTCATACTTTGTCGCATTCATCTTTCTCCTTCTTGTAAGCCCATTTCCTCACTATCCGGTCTCGAAGTAAGTAAACTGACCTCTTCAGGTGTGCATTGGCAACACCCATAATCGGGCTGTCCTCAATGATGTTTATTTCTTCAAGCTTGACTTGACAGACATCATCCCTCAGTCCGTGCCCAATGCACAGCTCATCAATTCCATTGCCCGGACTATCGGCCTACATGATTTCTATCAAGTGGGCTTGTGGAACTTCTGTGAGGGCTACAAGGATAGGTAAGATTAATACGCTCACGACTTTCTCGTCAGACTTATGCTTACATTCAATCAGTGGCGTTACTTACTGCTCTAAGCCAAAAAATCTCTATTGGTTCAACCCAGTCGAGATTCTCATGAGCGAGCTTTTGGCGGGAGCGACGATTGCTCTTCCTGCAGAGGTCATCCAGATTCTTGACATTCTACGCATCACGTCGAATATCATGTATGGCTTTTTCATCACGGGTACCGTCCTCAGCTTCGTCATGATCTTCATCACGCCCGTGGCTATTCTGTCACGCTGGTGGAGTCTGCCCATGGCCCTGACCGCGGCTCTCAACGGCTTCATCATCCTGGCCGCAACTGTCATAGCAACTGTCATTAGTATTGTCTTCAAGTATGCTGCGACCGCTCAGTCGGATCTCAACATCCATGCCGATGTGGGAGTCAAGATGTTCGTCTTCATGTGGATGGCCACGGGATTTGCAGGATTGTCATTTGTCATTCACTCCGCCTTGGGATGCTGCTGTACTTCCAGGCGGGACGTACGGATCGGGCGAAAGCCAGTCAAGCCGGCTACTGAAAAGCCAGCGAAGACGGCCCCGCAGGAATCACCATCATCAAGTTAGAAGCCAAGTGTGTCACTTGGAAGTATACACAGCACTTCCCCAGCATCCGCGTCTGACACAGAAGAGGCAGGTTGGGAGGGAATCGCGCCCGAGATACCCAATTGTGCAGCAGGCGAGACTCCCAGAGAAAACTCAAGACGCCATATAGGTCGTAGGCGTGCGCATGTGGCCAGAGGCATGGCTACTCCAGTATGGGTGCCTGATTCGGTTGGGATCTTTCAGTCCTGGCAATACCCACCCCTTCGTGGATGGACGAAGCCATAATACACTGCAACGGTTCGTGTTGATTGAAATTTTGGGAGTTCAGGCATAGACATAGACTGGACGTGAAGTCCCAAGTGAGAAGAACGGGAAACTCACGTAGCAAGAAACCATTAAGTAGTAATTCTATAATGGGTATATTTTCCTACCGCAAAAGAAAACCGATCAATTTGTAGCCCATGTCCCATGCCTTAGTCCTATTTCCGGGGTTCTTCCCACTAGTCATATCCCATCTCCCCCCCAGGCACAAACCAGGGCCTCCTTTAGAGGTTGTAAGCCTTTGCCGCCGTCCCGCTCCAGATCATCTCCTGCTCCTCCTTGCTCAACGAGGCCATGTCGCACAGTCGCTCCACGATCAACCGCCACTTCTCCCACGCGCTGCCCTTCTCCATGCCGACGGTGCACACAGGCCAGTCGCTGCCGAACATGAGACGCGAGGGGCCGAAGGCGGCCAGGATGACGGCGAGCCACGGCATGATGCTCTCGAAGATCTCCTCTGCTGACTGCTGCTTGAGCGTGTCTGACATCTCGGGGAACCCGCCGCTGACCTTCATGTACACCTGGCTACACTTGCTCAGTGTGTACATAGCTGTACGCCAGGCGATGAAGGCTGGGTCTGCTGGGTTGATTACAGTCAAGTCTGGCTTGCACATATGGTCTATTTAAAGGTGTCTTAGTTAGCAATCGATCCTTTCTTTGTAACGCATGCCTGTGTCGGGGCTAATCATTCTCGAAAGCAAAGGAGCAGGCAACTCACTGATGATGAACTTGACCTTGTGCTCCTCTGGAACGTCCTCATGCGCACGGTCAATCATCTCCACGCACTCCTCCAGCTGTATGCGGCCCCGGCGATGCTGATCAACACCAGTATCGAACACCAGCCCCTGACGGCCCAGCAACTTCAGGCTCTCAATGAACGGGTCCTTGAGCATGACCCCGTTCGGCTTGTCCTGCACCAGGTAGCGGAACCCCTTGACCTTGTCCCACGCCGGCCCCGCCGTCTCGCGCACCGCCGCGATGTACTTCTCCAGCGTCTCCGCGCCGGCCGGCATGGGCGCCCACGGCACGATGCCGAGGCACAGCGCGGCGTCCTCGGCGGCGTGGCCCTCGCCGTCGCGGGGCTGGCCCGTCGCGATGCGCCGCAGCCACTCGACCTCCATCAGCGGGTACTTCCACCCGGTCGCCGGGTCCGGCGCCGCCTCGTCGTTCTTGCGGTCCGTCTCGAGGAACACGAACCCCCGGAGCGTGGCGGGCGAGCCGGCCGCGGCCGCGCGGTACTCCTCTACCGACCGCTGCCCGGCCAGCGGGCTGTCGGGCGAGCACCATGCCAGCGTCGGGAGCTCGGACGCCGGATACAGGTGGATGTGGGAGTCGATGATGGGGACGTCGGAGAGGGGCGCCATCTTTGTGAATAGATCTGGATATTGATCAATTGGGCTCTGGAAAGTCCGCAGAGATTTGCGGTGAAGCTTGAAGGGCGAGCGGTGACGAGATGCAGGTCGGCTGGATTGGGCCGTTCGAAACGAAGAACGATGGATGGGACACAGCTGAGTCTGAAGATGTCGGTGTGCAACAACCTAACCTAGTCCTCCAACAGCAGATCTGCAGTTCAGCCTGGATTCTGACGTTTCATAAAGAGGAGCTTGGGCCTAGCAACAGCAGCCTTCCCCTTGTTCCCAGCTGCAGCAGCTGTGGCACATTTGAACTCCATCTCGACACTGCTGGCCTCTTTTTGGCGGGGTAAGGTCGCCCGCTGGGCACACGATAGTTGAACCCAACCCCACTATAGACGTTGGATCTTCACCCCGAGAGCCGATGTCATAGGGCCGCCGAGACGGTGCTGTGGGCTCGGGACCTGCAAGACAAATACCCGTCGGCTGGGGTCCTCAGCGACCTGCACCGAGAAGCTCCACTTTGCGATTCCACCAACCCGGCATTGGCATTCCGGGTATTATACAGAGTCGATTCTTTAGAAACACCTATATCATGATTTAACGTCCTTGTAGTCAGAAATGAAGAGGCGCCAGTATACGTAGCAATACCCTGTGAAGGTCCTTTTGGAATGACTCATCTATTCGGCTTCATTCTCGTTTGACGTTCATAATTAGAACTTCAAGTCCCGCGTGAGAGTGTGGTCTGGAGTGGCCGATCAAGCAACATTTCCTAGACGTCATAATATCACAAGGCTCAGGTCTGTATTTGAAAAGGGTAATTGATTAAATTTCATTGGTGAACTCGAGTCAAAGTCGGGAAAAGGGCATTATTGGATATTCACCAGCCTAGGACAGAGAGCCCATGATGATCTAAATAGTCTCGTTTTGACATGAACATCACCAAAAGTTGAAGAATTTCTTTTAGAAGAGACAATGAGTATGATAACTATTTGAGAAAATTACTACAGTAATCTAGGGAGCTTGGAGGCTGGGCCTATCCACATTTCAGCCAATCTGAGTGAGAAGCAAAGCGTAATCGAAACGTGACAAGGCAAAGCCCCTTCCGAACAACAAAGAACAATGTGGCCCGTGAGAAACGAGGTAAATACTTTCATGCCTTTGGACTACCCATCGCTTCGTCTTGCCAGGTTGTGCTGTCAATATCTCAATTGGAGGCGGCTGCAAGCCAAGCTGGGTCGTCCTCTCCCGTGAGACAAATCTAGACATGGACGAGCCTAGACCCTAGGAGTCATTCGTTCTTACGTGGCATGGCGGCGTGGACCGTAGACTCGCTTTGCCAATTCTACAATTGTGCAGCAGAAAGGTTCAGCCAGGATTGGTTCATGCCGTGTGTCAAAATAGACCAGAACAAGCTGAACCGGCCACGATCCACTCCTCGAAAGTAAAAGGCTGCCATCCTAGAGCGTAGAGAATACACGCTCTAGACTTGATAGCCATCTGTGAGCCAAAATAGCGTCCTAAGGCTGACCGGATCGGTCTCGGATGATGGTTTACATCGCCAGATATATGCAACAGGCGGTGATCACTTGATTGCTTATCATTGTCAATGGTATTCTCGACGATTCTAGCATCGAAAACCAACACAGCTCAACGAGACATAAGCACCAGGATGACATGACCTTGGTCCTCTGAAGGGAGACCAGATTCCAGGAGACCAAGGTCTCGATGCAGCCCTTAGGATAAATATCATCTTCTCTTCCAAAAGCCCTAATCTAACGCATCCCGTAGCTCAAGTCCGCGGATCGACCCGGAGCCGAGGTATTGTGGTCCACTTGAAGAGCATCTAGAGCAAGCCAATGGGAGATTTCCCCGGATCATTGAGCCTAGTGCATCATGAATTTTGGGTACATGAGTTTAGATAATAGGCATGTCGGGAGTCCATGGCGAAGCAGAGAGCCGGAGTCCAACTAGTTACATTGAACTATACAGAGCCAACGCAAGGAGAGAGTCAGGTGGCAATGAAAGGGCCTCAGGAGAGTGAGGACTATCACCGGCTTGGTTAACCTCGTGCTGTCGTGCCAATGACAAAGCGGCCCAGGCTGCTGGTACCGAGCAAATAGTCAATGATAGAAGGGTTCAAAGAGAGCTGGACGGCGCTGCCCGCGGAGTTGCGTTGCGTAAACACTGACTCGCTCCGATTCCCGGACCAGTGCCATGAAGTATCTAGAGATGTTACGTAGTAGCCATTGGTGAGCTCTTTTCTCGGAGTCTGCAAGGTGACGCTGAGGGTTTTCAAGACAAGATCTCAGCGCTTAGAATGGAGGCGAGACACTATAAAAAGCCATGGGTAGTAGCCGCGGGCTCGACCGCTCCACAGCTACCAAAAATACGGAAGCGAAGCTTGGGCGCGCCTCGGCCCTCGACCAAGCCACTGGTGTCTCTCACGGCTGCAGAAATCGGCTGATGACACGCCAGAGCAGCGCGACGAGCCTGCAGCATATCGACCAGTGGCATTATTTCGAGATCGTTAGTTATGTTTGAATTTTTATTGGGGGCTAAGGTGACGAGATATGCGAGATCTGGTTCGCCCTTGTCGCCCTGTGCGGCAGCAGAGGACGGGCCGTAGGAGATCTCGTGCACTAGCTAATGGGATCGGAGATCCGGGAGGCAGCGGCCGTATGCACTGGCGGAGTCTTAATGAAGAGGTTGCGGCTAGCTCTTCACAAGTCGATATTGAGCATCGATACTGATAGACAGCTAGTGCTCTGTATCCTCGCCTCCTCGACAATCTGCTCACTACGTAATGCTAGACAGACGCCCCGTTGAAAGACATGCTGCACCTGGATATACCTCATGCATGCCGCGACACGTTTTTCTGGCTCACGAAGGATTGCTTGGGATTAAGGCGCTCTAAGACATGGAGCGTGGCAAGCATGGAAATAAATTGATCCAGGGGTGCGGATGCACAGCGAAAAGCTGCCGAGATCTGCACAAAAGAAAAAAGGAATCAATGAAGCAATTGCATAGAGGTGCCACACTGTCTCTGCCCCCTCCACGTGTACTGTGCGATCGAGTGAGCAGCCTGCAGATGACGGCTTGATGGCAAGACCCTTGCACGGAACTCCCGTGAGCCTTCTCAGGCTGAATCTACCAGCCCAGCAGCCCTTCAAGGAGGAGACCATTCGATGGCATTCGGGACCTTCCAGAACTTCGACCACAAGTGTGGATATGTAGGCGCGGGAGCTTAGGCTGCCCCATGGCGGACTTTGGGGTGGGAGCGGGCTGACCATTGGGCTCTCCAAATGGCAGGAGAGGTTCTCCGACGAGATGGCGATTTACAAGTCGCCGACATCGCGCCTCCAATCACGTCCCCAGACATCACTCGACCCTACCAACTGCTCCCGCCGCCACGGCTTGGCCCCACGCGGGTCATCAAAGGCGGAGGAGGCGAGTTCCCAGGTGATTGGAAGGCATGAAATCCAGCGATATGGCCATGCATGTCACTATCCGCATTGGAGGGCGACGTGACTGGCGCAGAGTCGTTGGGCACTCAGACATCATTTGCAACAGTCAGGACAGGTCACGGCAAGAAACACTCCGATTGCTCGGGACGCGAGCAGACGAATCCAGCATCTTACCGGCACTCGAGCGAAGGGAGAGAGGAACGACAGGCAGGCATGCCTTACGTGGTCATCGTGTCCAGGAGAATCAAATATCATTGTTGGGAAACGGCAGGGGGGACAAACAGGCAACCTCTATTGATCATCGATGCATCATCAAACACGATCATGCTGTCCACGACTCTCCGTAGCACTACGAGACGCGTTACGGTTATATGATTGACGAGTAAGACGCAGGACGATGCGTGTCGCTCAATGCTCCCCATTTGGCCCCTTTCCTGTTGAGGTTATGCTTCCCAAGGTTTTTAAGATCTGACAGTTGTGCAACAGTGGGCTCTCGTATCCCGTCCGCCAGCCGCCAGCCTGCAGCGTTTCTTGTGTCGGGTCCCGACAGGAGGGCTCCGAACACCACGCCCTCAATCAGTATTATTAGCGGCAATGGCGAGACAAAACTCCTGACCATCGCATATTGACAAGAGAGCAGGTAAAGGGCAAATCGAGATCACGATGTCACCCACGTAGCCGCCATGAATCAGGCGAGCGGCCAGGCGGTTCTCGCCTGGACTGTACCATCATCTGGGGAAGGAGACTGAGCTGCCCCATACAGTATGGAATTGAATTGCTCCATGGCACAGAGCGAGCGCGGAATAGCATGCTGCAGTCAGGGACTTGTCATTCCGCACCCGGCTCTGACGAAATGGGCAACCCGACAAATCGGTGCCGTCCCGCACTCGCTCGGCTCTGCATAATGTACCTACAGTGTAGATAGGGGATCTTATGCCCCTCATCGCAGCACACGTGTAAATGCTTGAACGTCGTCGAGTCATCGAGACAGCACTACAGCGCTTCATTCATTCGAGCAGCGAATGAGGCTGCATTCTAAGCCACCTTCTTGACTCGGACGAAGAACACTGTTTATGGATTCAGCTGAAGGAGGTTCACCGCAAGATGGGCTTCTAATCTTGCAACATACGCCGTGGCTTTGCAAACAATGCCCAGTGACCTGGAAAGGCCTGGCGCAAGACAGTGCAAAGAGTCCGACGGCCTGCCTCAGACCACTCAACCGCCTGGACTCCTGACACTGGCAGACTGGGCAGCTACCGGTTCTGGATGCCACTCGGATGGTTGCCCCAAAGACTTCTAGCTCGGACAGGGTGGCTGCTCCACCGACCAGGGCGTGAGATGGTCTGAGCATTTGCACTGTAGACACCCAGCCAGTAGCAGGGCGTCGGGCAAATAGAGATACCCAGTTTCTTGTTGCCCATCCCAGTCAGTCGGTGTCAGTGTCTCGTCTGTACCTCCCTGCTGGTGCCGCTAAGGTACCTCGGCGCCCTGGGAACACTGCGCTGGGACCAATGCTCGGGTACAGGCCTGGCGTCGGGTGCGTAC